AGAAGACGGCTCCAAAGAGAGGCAAGTCAAACCTGCATCCACGTCGTTGGGCCAGCCGCTGGACTGGGAGCTGCTGGCGGCGGGTGAGCGGCCGGAGTAGAAGACGTCGTCCACTGGGCTCTCCATCTCGCTGTCGTCGATGGACTTGCGCTTGTTGGAACTGTGGGGTACATGAATCAGGGGCTGGGGTTTTCCATCTCCGAGCCGCTGCTTTAAGGCAGGCCACGCACAGTCATTGACGTGTGACTGGTATACAAAACGGCGTGCTCAGGGTTTGCCCTACACTCCTGCGGTAACCTCTGAGGAGAAACCGGGGAGAAGGGAAACGGGCAAGATCTGGCAGCTTTCATCTACTTGGAGCACCAATGCCAGGAGAGCTGCTGAGTCGCGCAGCCAAACAGTCTGCAACACACAGGCTGACATGTATGCACGCCCCCTATCTTCCCTACTGTGTGTCTGTCTACTGCAGGACTGGCCTGCTGTGCCACCATGCGTGAGAATTCAGAGTCAATGAAACTACCTCCGTGGAAGACTTGCATAGAGCTCCATTTCAGTCCTGTGGTGCAAGAGGAGGAGGAACAGAGAGAGACAGCAGGAGCAAGGGACAGAGGGAGGAGAGGGAGGGAGAGAAAGAGAGGTCCCATCACACATTCACAGCATAGACCATAGAAGCATAGAGCATGCACAAGGACTACACAGAGTACACAGCTTAAAGTCAGCAGAGAGAGAAACCTTGGTGGTACCCTGAATTCCTCTAACCCTCTATAACCTGCAGACTGTGTCTGGGTGTACAGGGGGGCTGAGTCAAAAAGCTGCCTGCTGTTGATGGCCAATGTGGTCTTGGGGCACACATACCTGGTGGATGGAGTAGAGGTGATGGATCGGCGTCCCAAGGCCACCTGGTTGATATTGTAGTAGCTGGGACTCTCCAAGTCCGCCAGTGAGAAATTCGGACCAGTTGCTGTTGCAACTGGGGCTAGATTATAAAAAAAAGAAAAGAAAAATAATGTGATGAGACACGGCCTGAAAACGGGATACCGTGGCAGGAAACGTTCAGGATACTAAATGATCTGGGGCACATAGGGAAGTGTATCTGATGACGAAACCTGGCGTGAGAGAGAGCACAGCCAGGAGTGAGACAGCGTGGCTGGGAGGGAGAGTGTGACTGGGAGTGAGGTAGAGTGAAGCTGGGTACGTGAGACGGGCCATGGCCAGGAGTGAGACAGCGCAGCTAGGGGGGAGACAGAATGTGGTCAGGAGTGAGAGTGTGGCCGGGAGTGAGGTAGAGTGGGGCTGGGAGTGAGACAGAGCACGGCCAAGAGTGATGCGACAGGGAAAGCGAGTGGGAGATGGAGACAGCGAGGGTGCTCCAGGGGCCAGGAATCACTAACTTTGTGACACGCGGACGAGCTCGGTGACGTTCCACACTCCTGAAGTCACGAAGCAGTCCTGGAAACTCAAGTGGCCTGACAAGGAAAGGATGCAGAATGTTAGGTGCCGCCAGGCACCCTGGGAGATTCACAGAAATTTATGTCATTTAGACATTTTCCCAAGATGGTTTCAAACCCCCCCTCATCAACCAAACATAATTTAATATGACATGTACAGATTTGTAAACACTTTGGTAAATTGTAAGACCGGAAGCTGAAGCCACTGCTTTCATGTGATGATCATGTGAGACGTTCCCGTGCTGTGGCCTCACCGTTGGGCGGAGGCTTAATGTCGGCGTCTCCTTGCTGGTTGGAGTTGTCTGATTGTCCTGATTCTGCACAACAGACAAAGGAGAAAGAAAGCAATCAGCAGGAAGGACGACGACTTTAAATGTGGGAAAATACCTTCTCACGCTTTTCAGCTGGGAAGGACTTTTTATCTGTTAACCTGGCTTTATTTATTCTGTGCAAAATGCAAAGTGTGGGAGTGTCTTTTACTTAGACAGAGCCTTATACCGCTGAAAAACACAGTCCTTCCACTTCTGCATTCCTTTGTTTTTAAACCTTTGCTTAAGGCTGGAGACGGGGGTATACACACTGCACACTGCAGAGGACGTTGACACGGGACAGAATGCACTAATATGCGGCACTTCTGAGAATGGCTGGCTTTGGTGCATGAGCCCCTGGAAGCACGGCACGGTTACCGTGACACGTGCATGCATCCGTTCCCAGGGTTTTCCTGCCGCCGCTGGAGGGGGCGCCGGAATAAGCGGGCACACGGCAACACGATTCTCCACACTCCCAACGAGATTACGAAACCGCTCAAAAACAGAAACAAATGGAAAACGTATATATCAAAACGCGAAAAACAGCCGAAGAGCACTGTGCCGTTTTTCCCCCTCTCTGAAGCGAGAAGAGTCGCTCCTCTCCTTGCTGCCTGTGTTTTTCTGTCTCTCTCCTTCCGTCTCGCATGCACATTCGCTCCAGTTAATCCTGGCAGCCATCTTAGCGCTTGGCAGCCATCTTAGTTATTGGCAGTACCAACGCATTCCTGTTTGCTGACAGCGCACACACAGGCACACAAACACACACGCGCATTATCGAGAATCGATCGGAAGCACAATCGGAACCAGGCCGTCGATACTCCTAGCTATCTCCAGGTGGAATGGACCGATACTGCTCGAGAGTTCAGCGGTGGGAGAACTAGAATGTCGCTGAATACCGATTGTTTTCATGTCAATACTGAGAGCGTCTGCAAAGAGCCAATTGTCAAATAAAGAGTCCATGTCATCGACAGAACTAATGCAGGGAGTCAGGTGACTGAATATTAGCCTGTGATTTGACCTCTGCCAGAGGTCAAATCACAGGTCTTCCTCAGTCACCCGTGTGGATGTTGTGAGGGACCGATTCCTCCGGAGTCTCAGTAAAGGAAGTGGCTTGCCCTGCAGAGCAGGCGGCGTGGTGATGCTAAGCTTAGCCCTGACCCAGTTATGACCTCGAGCAGTGAAAGAGGTGCCAACCGGGTCCGGCTCTTCTTTGAGCTGCTCTGTGGCCAGCTCTACACGTGATCAAATCTGCAAGTCGTCTCAAATGAAAAGCCATCAGCGATGACATGGACACACACAAACCCCCCTGCCGTCATCAGTGAGCTTCCCATCTCGAAGGTCAACCTCATGGAAAGAGGAAAAACAAAAAGGACAACGGGTAGAGGTAAAAATGATCAAAACAGTGCAACATGTGACACACACACATTCCACTGAGGCCCGTAAAGCAGACCCAGAGCTGGTGGACTGTGTGATGAATTGGGGAATCAGCGTCTCTGTTCATCATCAGTCTGGCTTTAGAGTCAGCCAGCAGTGGTCTTATCTAAATACAGCAGCATCTCCACTGACACACACACACAAAGACAGAGAGGCAGACACACACTACACTCCTCACATTAATGTTTTGAAGATTACATGCACTGTAACATGGATGGATAACATATCTGTTTCTATGATTACTACTGGGAATTGTCTGTGATTGTCAGGCAGCGAGAGCTTGCCGTGTGGGTACGGCGATGGCAGCAAAGACAGCAGGTTATATGTCCTCGCTCTCTCTGTGGCAGCAGACGTGGATTAGACCCAAAGTTCAGGGAGATCAAAAAAACTGGCCTCTGGGTCTGTCTGACACACCATCACTCGCAGTGAGCCAATCGGGTGTCGGAAACTCACTAGGAAAAAAAACCCAATGACTTCCCAGATGAAACCACATGGAAACACAGGGCTATTAATAGTCTGACAGCTTGTGTGTGTGTGTGTGTGTGTGTGTGTGTGTGTGTTTTGAATGGTGCATAATGTGGGCTTAGGTGACAGAAGAAATTGGCCTCCAGTGAGTAAAGCTTGATGTTCATCACCCAGACAGACACTGGCAAAGACAGAGCAGGCCTCTCCGCCTTGGCCATGACCTGCTACAGCATGTCCCCCCCCCAACCCAGCTCATTTGTAGAGGCTACCTTCCCTCACCTTTGACTATGGGGGCACTGCAGAGGGCTCCAACTGGCACTCAGGACTGACAGGTGAGCATGTGACTATAAGCATATAATTACAAACGGAAAATGCCAGAAACCCAGAGGTGCTGCTAAAGGCCGGTGGAGGACTGGAGTCACCCGGACAGCTGCCAGAAAGCAATTAGTCTGAGGCAAGGCTGCTGGACCCCAATACCCAGTGGCCAGGGGCAGTGCAGGTGTGCTCAGACTGCCCCGACAAACACACTCCAAACACGGTGTCTTACTCTGAACACTGTGTTACCCAGAATCCTTCATTTATGTAGGATACAGAAGAGCAGTACGTGACAGTCTGGAGCGATTGTTTGCGAACTGAAGCCCACTCCTCAGTCGAGCCTCTTTAGACCTGGTGTGTGCAGAATCTCTAAATCGTTCTGTACATGTGTGGGTGGTTCATGTGTGGAATACAAGCATGTTCCTACACTCACATTTACAGCAGCTTCGCATATTTATTTCTTACTTCTGAACACATAATTTTACATGTAAGAGAAATGGGTTTGTGTGCTGGCAAAGACACCCAAGCACACCATGGCGTCTGACGGCCTCTGTGAACAAACAAACACACTGCTGTGTGACACGGTGTGCATGTGTGTGCATGAGTGCGAGTGTGTGTGTGCGCGCACACACTCGCGGACGAAGGCCGAATCTGCGCTAGCCTGGGGTAACAGCACAGCTTCCCAATTGAGTTTTGCTTAAGAGGTTTATCAGTGTGTTGCTAAACATTCTGACCTTTTTTCTTAATCCTTAATGCGCTTAAAATGTTCCAAACCCACATAATCCCTAAGGCTAGCCCACACAGATGTTCACAGTGCTCATTTATTGGACTTTATTTCATTTTTTCCAGGTTGCCACTTATTTATTATTTTCCTATCTTATAATACCACTCGCCATCTGACAGTAGTGCTTGGCTTTCCGCTGGCGTTCTCTGCGGACGCCCCTTGAGTTGGGTCTTGATTTCAAAAAGACCCGGCTAAACTGGGCCAACAATTCTGTTTGCGCTTAAGTTCCACAAAACGCTCTTCAGTCCTGAAAGTGAGGCTCAGAGACTCAAGCTGCACCGTGTGGCGGGGTCTGTAATTAATGAGGACCAGCTCGCTACCCCAGGAAATCCGCTTTTATACTGCTGCCGATCCATTTTGTCCAAAACACCACCCCATGTTACCTATTTATATAGCTAGGCACATTGGAACAATTTAGTTTGTCTGCTCAAGATTTACAGAGTAGTAGTAACTCTCTTCTTGCACATCCTAGCTGCTACCTGCTGCCCGTAAGACTCAGGACATTATGTATAACAGTACAAACGGTTTCTAACTCGGAGCCGCTCGTGTAAGCGGTATGAGAATGGCGGTGTGCAGCCCTGCCGAGACTGGGGTGGGGCAGTGGGGCAGGCTGGCAAGCAGGCTGGCTGGCTGGCTGGGTGAGAGAGCAGGTGTTCGAAGCTGCCCATCTGCGTGCCCATCTGTGCCTGGCGCCTGTGCCCGGCCAGATCCACACACAGCATGGCGAGCTGGGTGAGCGGGGACCCCAGGGCCGTCCACAGACGCAAAACACTGTGCCCTCCATCTCTCCCTGCCTGCTATATCCATGTAAACACCCTCATTCAGTTATTTACCGCACACTAGAACGGTTGGCAGACTGAGTAACTTGCACTTTCAAACCAAAAGCAGCTTGCAGCATTATTGCTGGCATTTGCTATCTTATTTCATTATTGTTTATTCCTTCATATATTTTTATCTTCATTTGCATTTAACGGCACTTCTATTTTCAATTGTATTTTAATAAACATTTCAGTTGTGGATTTTTATACATTTTTATAATTTCTTCTGTAAAGTGCTTTTTATTCTGAATAGCGATAAAGTGCCATAAGTGTATTATTATTATTATTATCATTGCTACACTTTACCGAACACCATGAATATTATATTATATTGAATACTATAAATATTATGCTCTCTGTATGGAGTATTCCAGAACATTTAATTGATAAAGATGAAACATCTTTCCACACGTTGTATTTCACCTTCATCCTCGGGATTCCAACCAGCAACAGCGTGACTGGCAATCCTTAGTTTTGTTTAGTTTATTCACTAATATATTCAGGCTAACAGGATGTACGTATAAATGCTTATTTAGTGACTAACTCCAACCGAACATTAATGCATGAAGAATTACACAGGATTCATGTACATAAGGTAATCAGTCTCCTAGCTGACAGACTTTTGGGGGGGGGTGGGGGACACACCTTTGGACCCCTCAGAAGGAGCCCTAAAGAAGCTATACCAGCACTGGCTATCAGAGAGGGCTGTGGCTATGACTGCATACAGCTGTACATACAAACACCCCAAGAAAACATTATGGCAAATGTGCAATAATGTACAATTCAATACATTTTGTAATATAATGCTTTTTCCAACACCGTTTCCACTGAAGATAAAGACATGCAATATGTAACTGATGCAAAGTCAGCTGCACATTGAAAACAGGGGCGAACAGAACACAGCAGAAGAAGCTAAACCTAACTCTGCATAATATATTAGAAGGAAAACCTCTGCAGGTCCACGGCCCACTGGCTGCTCAGCCCACGCCGTGCATGTCGACGTTATACAATTCACAAAGTGAGTAGGTGTTGTTAGGGCTAAAGTTAGCCGTTGAATCACATCTCTGCTTTAACGACGTTGATGTTGTCGATGCTGGCGGACGGTAACGACAGGATTTTCTTGAAGCAGATTTACTGACCTTTCTCAATATGAATCTGTCAATCGCAAGGCTATTTAAAAGGGAAACGCCCAC